TTGCCCGGGGGTAATAATACCGTGAGCACAAGGCCCTTGCCCGGGGGTAATAATACTGTGGTCTACAAGTACAAGGCCCTTGCTCGAGGGTAATAATACCGTGGTCTTAAGGTCCTTTCCCGGGGGTAATAGTACCATGGCTCGAGTATGTTACAAGTTCCCAGTACCGGAGGTTCCTTATGAAACTGACAAGCATGATAACGCTATTGGATGTACCATGTATGATGAAGCATGAACTTTGATTTATGTATGTAGTTTGAACAACATATGAATATACATTTGTTTCTGATATGAACTCTAGTTTCTGAATCAGTTATGTATATCATTCATTTAAACCCTTTACTCTATTATTAGTCATTGGGCTTCCGCTTATTACTTATATTATGTATGTAGGTGAGCAGGTGCGTGACCAGGCCTAAGTTGCTGCCTAAAGTGTTTTGAGTCAGCCAACTACTATGCCTCCCAGGGAGGTTCCTCTTTGAGAAGTCAAATTTTGTGAACTTGTTGAAGATGTTTTATTGTTTGTTTTACTTATCTATATGATGGACTAGTTCCTCATGACGTTTTATATATTGTGATACAAGTCTTATACACGTTTGACATTATATAAGTTTAAAACTTATTTGTTTCATGTATGTCTTCACAGCTCTATAGACCTTGTATTTTGTATAATTGCTTCCGCAGCCCCTTATATTCTGTTATTCTGTTAAGAGGCCTTTGGTAATCTCAGGATTACTGGCCGGTTACATCACTAAACCTAAAGGGGCGGGTTTGGGCCATGACAGGGTGGTATCAGAGCATGCGTTATACTGCACACACGAGTCCATATGAGCTATAGGATGTTGTAGTAAGAGTTACAGGCATTCCATCTGCATGTGTGAGTGTGTATTAATTTCTGTACATGAGAAAATTACATCTGAACATGAACACATGAAATTGAAACAAATGAACAGGGAGTGACTGTTCCGAACACTGTAAAAAGAACTATTGCCTGTGTTTATTGTTCTCTTGTTTCCCTATAGCAATGGAAAATACAATAAGTGGTGATACAGCAGGGTCCTCTAAGGCTCAAATGAGCCGAATGGAACAAATGCTCGCAGCCTGACACAGCAACAGAGGCAACAACTTTTACCTTCCCCGCCTCTGTCAGTGCAAGTTGAACCGGATAACAATGACATTATCAACCTAACTTAAAAGTTCATAAAGAAGAACCACCGAATTTCTTGGGTGGTATTGAACCCTTAAAGGCAGAAACCTAGTTGTTCGAAATAGAGAAACTATTTGAAGTGTTTCCTTGCTCCGAAACACAAAAAGTCCTTTTGGCCACCTACACGTTAAAAGACGAAGCTCAGAGATGGTGGTTATTAATCTGAACTAATAATGGGAATATGATGTGGACTCAGTTTAATGAAATTTTCTACAACAAGTATTTTCCCCAATGCTTTAAAGATCGAAAAGTGTTAGAATTTCAAGAACTTATGCATAGCAGAATGCCCGTAGCTGAGTACGAAGTCAAATTCACTAAATTGGCTCAGTTTGCTCCACAGATGGTGGACACGGATTATAAGAAAGCATAAAAGTTTGAGGGAGGACTAGATCAGGAAGTGTTTGATCGAGTAGGCGTATTGAAATTGTCTACATATGTGGAAATGCTTGATAAGGCGTTGATGGCAGAGGCCAAACTAGTAACAAAGAAACAGACCAATGCTCCAATAACTGAATGGAGAGACAAAAGATCTGGATCCAATTTTCGGAAGGGCCGCTCATTCTTTATAGACAAAAGGCCAAATACTGGATCTTCAAGTAGTTCAAGCCAAAGCAGTGGGTCTATGCATGGTTATCCAGAATGTAGAAGGAAGCATAAGGGCACGTGTCACCATGCATCTAGCGCTTATTTTCGATGTGGTAAGACAGGCCACATGATCAGAGATTGTCTGATGAGACTCGACACGACTACCCGTCCTGTGGCAAGTTCAGCCGGATCTGCTCCTGCACCAAGAACGAATGTGAGAGCCAATACTGGGAGAGAAACATTGAGACAAGGTCGGGTTTTTGCATTAGTACCTAGGGATGTACAGAATACTGATGTAGATGCGCCCGAACGTCCCGGGAAAATCCCGTTTTGTTTATTGGGCTCACTACAGTTCGGACTCAAATGTCACGGTTCTGAATCTAATCGCAAAGTGCAATGCAAGACCGATAAATCACCAAAGAGTCCAAGTCCAGCAAATCGTTTTGAAAAACTGATTTTTTAGAAAGAAGTGTCAAACATAGACTGTTTTGCCAGATACAGAGTCGCCACCTAAATATTTTATTTTTTGGAAAATTTAGAAAACCCTGACTCGTGCCTAAGGCCACGTGTCCGTCATCACCAAAGTTGTCTCGGCTTGGGAACTTGGGTACGAGAGGGGAAGGTCATACAATGAGCACCCCCGCTCGCCCGATCAAAGATCGGCCTTTACTAACATGATATCTTGTTTTTAAAAACACATGTGCTCTTATTCTGGTTATTAACCTAGAATTACGATGTGATGCGCACAGCATACAAGTGTAGACTGGATCGCCTAAGTTCGAACAAAACATCTCATATTCGTTTGTTTTGAAAACAGTTTGTTACTCGCAAGTAGGCTAAAATGCGAATTTTGCCACCCTTAAGTGGGCTTAGAAAAATATGATTTTGTCACTCTCAAGTGAGTTTAAAACTTGCAATCAAGGAATTGTTCCAATTCAAATAATCCAACCTTCACCTACAAGCATCCAAGCAGTTATATCACATAAGCACATAGCCTCATGGCAAACATGCTATCATGGCAACACTCACACTCATGCAAGGATGCTAAAGCATAAACACTTACCGAGTACTCCGAACCAAAACAAAAGCTACGTTAGAAATCAATGCATGATCCTAGTTATGTCAAGAATGCCTAATGCAACACATACAAAAAATGCAACTAAGGTAGGCTCGGCTATTCTAAAATGTCATGTGAAATGCAATTTGATACATGTATTCAAACAGGAATTGAAATACAATGCAGTTAGTATGATGCGCCAAGCCCGATGCATGCAAGACAGATGAATGGATGCAAACATATGAGCATAAGGATGCTAATTGAAACATGCCCTAAAACTATCCATCATAAGCTGGTAAATAAAAGGGAGAAAGAAATGGGGGTTGGAAGACATGCATCACACACACACACACACACACTTATTTACAACCGTTGTACCTTTCGACGGAGGATCCAAATAAAAATACAGAACCGACTAATTAACTAACTATCCTAGCTAAACTAGTTATTACACAACAAAATGAATAACAAGCTACAATTAATTATTACACAACGCTAACTAGTTAACAAATCAACTAAATTAGCAATTAAATAAGCATGCAAACTATGTGAAATGGGTGGCCTCAGCTCTGCCTTGGATGATGAAGGATGCATGCATGCTCGAATTGCCTTGCTCAGAAATCCATCGCGATATCCCGACTTGCCTATGTTTGTAATTGATCTCAGAACACTGCACAAAGCTCCAGAATGATGAAACTCCACCAAGGGAACCTGTGGGAAGGCTGCCGACCAGTTGTTGGCTTTGGAGACCACCTGTCGACCAATTTTTGTGGTGAAAACCAGAAAAAGTGGTCGGTCTACCCCTTTATCTGGTTGGCCGACCAGTTTTTGCTGCTGGTTTCTGGTTTGCTGCAACAGAGAGCAAGAAAGGGGCATGGCAAAGCATTTGCAAAACATGTATGCACAACCATCCTCCCCATCATTACATAAGCTCAAAGGAGTATAGTTCTCGACCCTCGGACCACCAATCACGCATCTCGATACATGATGGCCGAGGAGCCAAATTGCACGACTCAATGTGACATGAATGCACGCACGAACACATAAAGCCCAAAACTTCATCATGTATAGTCAAGAGTGTCGGTGACCGGGAATCGAGGCACGTTTCATCACTTTGAGTATGAAACGTCCATCGTTTTCTGTGTTTGGACTAACGCCTATTCCAAACACAATGCAACAAACATGGCATGCACAGTGCGACTCAATCATGCAACTTAATGCAATACAACTTAGACATGCAAACGTGCAAAGGGGTAAACATGTGAATCATGCAACTAGCATACACAATGCCATGAATTCCATGGCATACACAATGCTCATGACACTAGCATACACAATGCACGTGACAACTAACATACACAATGCAGCCTTCTTCTTCACCCAATCTCTTATCTCCATCATCTCCTTTACTCTTGTGTTCTTGAGTTGAGACCATTGAAGAATCTAAGCCTCTCACATTTCTTCTAGAGAATTCGAAGTTGTTCTTCAAGGACCTTCGAAGATTTTCGAATTTTCCAACTCCTTTCTTGAACCCTCTCCTACAAGTCCTTAGTTGCTCATGATTTTAGAAGATAAAAATGAGAACTTGTTTTGTCTTGCATAGCTTGATTTGATTTATAATTGACTGGATCCCTGGAACTTATTTTTTCTAATATTTTGGAATAATATATATATTTTTTTATTTTCATTTTATTCCAGAGAATGTACCTGATCAAATGGAGAAGGTACAAGATCTGATTTTCTTTTATATTATTTGAGATTGTTCCATAATTTTTCCTATCTGATGTCTTGTTGTGTAAATAAATTGTTAGTATGAGATTCTTCATACAACAATTGGACGAGGAAGCTCTAGTTGTGTTTTCAAGGCCCATAACCGTGACACCAATGAAACTGTTGCTTTGAAGAGGATTTATTTACTTGAGAAAAACGAATGTGTTCCAAGCTCAGCAATTAGAGAAGTCTCATTTCTAAAAGAGATGGATCATAGCAATGTCGTCAGGTGTGTACTACCTAAAGTATTCTCATCAACAAATAACAATTATAGAATGTTTTTCACATAGAACAAGCTGAACATTAAACTTAGGTAGCTCATAGAACTTCCCTTCTGCAAATATTGTGACGAAACTAACACCTGCTTCCCATCTTTTACTATAACATACTGGTGGATCATGTATAACATCACTTTAAACCATTTGAAGATAATGTATTTCTTGCTATTAGTAATATTAGTATCATATTGTAACTTGAAGTGAAGGGGAAACCAACAGATGGGGATGATGTAATTTAACAGATGGAATGGATTTGCATTATGTTGTTTGGTGATCATAGCCCTTTCTACTATCAACTATTGATTTCATGATAAAATCAACCACAATGGAGGCCCATTTAGAAAACAAGTTACACATTAGAAGTTAGAACATGTGTTATACATAAAACTTTGCACCAGTCAAATATTTCCAGGATATCAACAAGGTATCCCTGTAACATCAATAAACCATCTTTCCAGCTTTAACAGGTGTTGAAGGTGGTTTCCCACTCTTGATGGAAACCTTTTCAATGTCCAAGAATTTTATGAAGTAGATGATCCATATCAAATCACCTTTAATTATCTTGGACTCTTATTTGACCAACTTATTTGCTTACAAGTTTTCTTAGCTACAAAACTGCTCAATTTAGGTATGGAGATTGTCAGTAATACTTTCTCAAGAGTTCTTGTAAATTGATAACAAAGGATGCTAAATTCCAGTAGACTTTTAAACAACATAATTAGGAGGCATTAGTATCATTATGCAAACATGAGGGAGTTTAGTGTAATTAGCTTATGGTTCAGGGGAGGCCATATTTTTGTCTGTAAAGTTTCTACTTAAAAAGAATAAGATTAAATAGCCTCAGACGTTACAGCTACAAAGTTTTAGGTATGGGTTCTAATGGTCAAGTTGGTCCTTTAAGATGAGGTAATATATTGGAATTTAATCTGCATAATTTTGTTTGACGGTCAACGTGCCGTACAAGTAGAATATCAAAAAAACAAAAGAAAAAGTTTTCTTTGTCTGAAACAAACTGGGGTAGCGCCAGGAAAATCTTACTGCGTAAATTATTTTCCCTTTGGAATTTCTGTTCTAGGTCACTCCTTTTTTGGGGGGAGGTAAAAATTAGTTATCGCCCACTCAGTTACCAAGCAACTTGAAACAGATAGACATATGTGCTTCATATTCCCATTAAAGAACTATCCAGTTTTTTTCTTTTAATAATGTGTTTTTGTTTCATCCTCGTATGCTAGTGATGTTCGAGTGTAAATAATTTAGCACTCGGAATTTTTTTTAATTCCCACATTTATCGTTGATCAAAATTAGTTGTGGATGCCCATACATTAGTTTTCACTCCCCTCTTTCAGTGGACACTTCTGGAATGTGTTTAATTACATCAAACTTTGCTAGTGTTGCAATTTAAATATATATGCTCTTTTAATATAAGCCTCATTTGGTTGAAGTCATTGGGATTCCTCAGAAAAGTAGTCAACTCTTAAGTTAACACTTAATGGCGCACACTATGATTGTTTAGACTTTGTAGATGTTAGGATCATGGACATCCAAAAAGTAAACAACAAACAATCACACACACAAATGAGACACAAATATTTACGTGGTTCGGCCTAATGCCTACGTCAACGGACAGAAACGAGAATTTCACTAAACAAAACAAATACAAAACAGAGGAGGAGAGTCCCTCTCACTCAACTCACAACTCTTTGTTTCTCAAATTTCTGATACAATTCATCATCTCCCTCCCGTCTCTATTTATACACAAAGATGAGAGAGAGAGAGAGAGAGAGAGAGAGAGAGAGGAGACAAACCCACCAAAATTTTCTACCTTCTTAATGGTGAGAGTCAACAGTGGCAACAACGTGAAGAGAAGGGAGAAACTTGCGGATGCCCAGCTCATAGAAGTCCTCGTATGCCATGCATGTGGCTTGCAGCAACAATAGAATCACTTGACAAATATTTTCCCTGATAAACTTGCCGTCTATAAATAAAAGTGACATCAAATGCCTGTTTCCAGTGAGGCATGATGTCTGATTTTGTTCTGTTTCGTGTTCTTGACCTTTGCAAATTCTGAAAGTTTTACAAAAACTGAGTATATTAGGGAGAAATTTCTTTCTAGTTTCTTCTCATGGCTAGTTCAATATAGTGGTACCCTATATAATTCCATAAATTGAATATAGTCTATATTTGTTGCAAATATACTTTTTGAAGTACACCGTTTGCACAAAACAGTAATCTGACTCTAGATTTTGAACAATTGGTTGTGCTTAGCTAATATTTTTCTAAATATCATGGATTTTCTGAACATGTTGGTTGATGGAATTCTTTGTAACAGGTTGCTGGACGTAGTGGATAATGATAAAGCATTGCATCTTGTTTTAGAGTATATGGACCTCGACCTGAAGAAGTCTATGGCCTCCTCTCCAGATATTGCCAAGAATCAACAAGTTATCAAATTGAGTGACTTTTTTCTATTTTTCTGTACCATAGCATGAAGAACATAAAGTAATCATCCAGATGTCATTTAAAACTGGGAGATGATCTAATTTCCATAGAACATGCAATTTCAAAGTAATGTCACTCTAGTTGTTCTATGTTAAAGGTTCTTTTTTTTTTCATCTGCAAAGAGAAGATTTATTTTTCTGTGTTAAAGGTGCCAAGGATGGTGCTGAAGGAATTTCCCAATTAATTTCACGATTTATTTTTTTGTTCTTGGCAGAGTCTTATGCATCAGCTTCTTGATGGTCTTGCTTATTGTCATTCTCAAAAAATTCACCACCGTGATTTGAAACCTCAGAATTTGCTGATAGATTGTAAAAGCATACTTAAGCTAGCAGACTTTGGATCAGCCAGGGAAACTGATGTTCCTCTTCACAGATACACTGAAGGGGAAATGGTATTCACTTTTTACATTATTCTATACATTCCTTCTTTTATCAGCCATATCTTCTCATATGATTCGGGTAATTCTCAGGTTGCAAGTCTGTGGTGGCCAATTTCCCTCTTTGTGCCATTTTGAACATTTTAATCCCATTTTAGGGTGTACTTTTATCTTTATTCCCAAAGTAGGGTAAAACGGTTTTTGTAATGCCGTTTTTTAGAAACCGGCTTTCACAAAACCGTATTCATCGATTAAAATAATAATAAAATTTGAAAATGAAAACCGGCTTTTCTAAAGCCGTTTTTTATTAAGATTTTAATTATTCTGAATTAATTAAAAACGGTTTTCGTAAAACCGTTTTCCTATTAATTTTTTTTTATTTATATTTTCAACATAAATACTTTTTGTTCAAAATTTTTTTTTTCATGAAAACCGGTTTTAGAAAAGCCGTTTTTTAAAATTAATTTTTTTTTATTTATATTTTCAACATAAATACTTTTTGTTCAAAATTTTTTTTTTCATGAAAACCGGTTTTAGAAAAGCCATTTTTTAACATTAATTTTTTTTTAAAATTTATATTTTCAACATAAATATTTTTTGACCACAAATATTTTTAATAAAAAATGGTTTTAGATTTTTTTTTTTTAATTATGTTTTCTCATGTGGGAAGGTTGGACTTGGGAATGAAAAGATGAGTAAGAGAGCAGCAATTTCAATGCATTCAAAGATGGGTTTCTTTAGAAAATTACAGCACAAATAAAAATAAAAATTAAAACGTAATGCTTGCTTTGAGTTTTCTAAAACATTTTTTAGAAAATTCTATTTTCTTATTTTTCAAATTTTTTTGTTTTTGTTGAATTTTTTAATATTTTAAGTTTTTAAACATACCTAGCATAAATACACTAAATGCCAAAAATACAAACAAACAGAAAAAACGAATACGGTTTTGGGAAAACCGTTTTCTAAAAAAAACGGCTTTAGAAAAGCCGGTTTCTATTTTGAAATTTTATTATTATTTTAATCGATGAATACGGTTTTGGGAAAACCGTTTTCTAAAAAACGGCATTAGGAAAACCGTTTTACCCTATTTTGGGAATAAAGATAAAAACACACCCTAAAATGGGACTAAAATGTTCAAAATGGCACGAAGAGGGAAATTGGCCGTCTGTGGTACATGGCACCTGAACTCTTGCTTGGCAGCCGGAAATGCTCTACTCCAGTTGATATTTGGTCTGCAGGTTGTGTATGTGCTGAGATGGTGATCCAACGGCCTCTTTTCACTGGATATACTCAAGTGATCAAAATTTTCAGGTGCTATATATCTTTTATATATATATGCAAACGTGTCTGCTGATTGTTAACTTCCTAATGCATTTAATGTTGTAATCCTAAGTTCATTTTCTTTCTATTGTGAAGCATTATGGGCAAGCCGAATGAGGAAACCTGGCCTGGAGTGACTTTAATATGTGATTTTCTCGATGCTTTTGTCAGAAATGAACCTCAGGTAATACAATTTGAAGATGTGCTTTTGTTTTTGAGTCTAATTTTTTTTTTTTTTGGCAGAAAAAAAGCTTTTGGCCTCTGTTTCTTCTTCTCCCATACAGAATCTGGCTGAACTAGTCCTGGGTCTCGAACCAGCTGGAGTTGATCTTCTCTCTGTAAGTTTCCATTTTTCACCATAGACTCGCGATGAAATATTCAGCTGATCAGATGAATCCTAGTATTCTTGCTTTAACCAATGGCCCATAGCCCCACACTAAGAAGCACATACACGGACATGCGATGCAACACGACATGGATCTGAGACAGATACACTAACATGTCAAATTTTGAAAAAAATGCAAGACAAAACACGTGAGGAACACATAAAAAAATGTATAATTTTTTATGTTTATTATATGTCGTATATTTACTTAAACAAAGATAATAAAAATATACAACATAACATTCATTTGTATAACTTTACAATATTTTTCTTTTATCATTGTATCCTAAATTATTTTGTTCAAACTTATAGTTAGTTTCATGAGTGTCTAAACAATCAAGACATGTATCCTCCAAGTGTCCGGATATAAAAATAAAAAATAAAAAATTTAAATATGACACGCTTTGACGAGTGATGGACATGTGTTAGGAAATGTTCGATGAGTGTCGGTGTCCGACATAAACACATCAACTTCTTAAAAGTGCCCTTGCTTTTTTAGGCCCCGAAGTATGGGATTGACTGAAATATTTGGATCAATGTTATATTTCATATGAAGATTAGTTTATCTTGTTACAGTATTTGGAGAAACTGTCCTGTAGAGATGAAATTGATAATTCATTAAGTCTGAAGTATCCATTGGTTAAATACTGATAAGGAAATGAAAAAATTTGAGTTCACATTTCAGGTTTCTGTTTCTTAGTACTCATGCCCACTTTTATGTTTTCAGAAAATGCTTTGCATGAATCCGGAAGGAAGAATTACAACTTTCGAAGCACTGGAGCACCCCTACTTCGACGACATTTTAGAGAGTCCTTGATTCAAAACAGTCATATTGACATGTGCAGCAATTTGTATAGTTTTCATTTGAGAAACAATGTTTGCTTTTGTTCATTCTAAAATTTTTCCATTGTAGTAAGCCAGTGTTGTTCACTTATGTTAGTGTTTGGGACGAACTACATGGGATACTTTTCTCTCTATCTTTCTCTCTTTAAAAAAAATAAATAAATAACTGTCAGTTGCGCCGTTTCTTCCTGACTTCTCAAAATATGATAGTTAAATTTTGATGTTGTTTTATTGGTAGTGTGGAAAGTGACAAGTACTAGTTCAGAAATTTAAGGGAGGATTTGTATGAAGATTGACATTTTGATTAGTTTTGCTGCAAATTTCTCAGCTTTTTAATTGAGAAATTTCTCGGTAATTTCACTCTCAAAATTGAGAAATTTCTTAGTTTTTTTTAATACATAATTTCATATTCAATACAGATTTTGTTTAATAAATCTCAAAAAATTGGTTTCAAAAGTGGGAAATTCAGTAGAAAATCTCATTTGATGGACTTATTGAAAAATCTATTAGTCCATTTAGTCCTATTTATATAGAATGTTAAGAGATGAAATCCCATTTTTCAATTTTGACAATTTCAATACCTATATTTACGGTTAATTTAAATGATATTTATATTATTATATTTATTGCATACATAAATGTTTTTCTTTTAGGAAGATTTATCTAACCATTATGGAGATTTTGTCATATCAATTTAAAACCTAGTCAGCCTCCGTTTGGCAAGAAAAAGCCCAGGCTTTTTTGGCTAAAATAGTCACAAAAAACAAAATAGGCTATTTTAGCCACAAAAAACAAAACATCAAATCCAACCCATAATCATTACAATCATCTCTCACAAAAAAAGTCAAAAAAGCTAAAAAGCCAAAAAGCTCTTCTCAAACCAGGCTAAAATAGCCCAGGCTAAAATAACCAAAAAGCCAAAAAATCAAAAAGCCAACCCACTTCCCAAAGCAAGAGATTAAATAGTGTCTTCTTCGTCTTCCATTCCTACTTGCAAGAAGACTATTATTTGAAAGTTATTTTAAATGTGCCTTAGATCATATAAAATTTAAATTTAAATTATACACTTATTCATTATTATTATTTTTAACGGCTTGGTAAATTTTTCTACTAGCGGTGATGTAGAAACTATTAGGCTTTTACCATCTATAGGTTGATAGAAATTCAATGATTTTAACTTTGTACACATCCAAACAAGAACTCTGATTGGCAAGACTTTTACCTATTTGACTGTAATATACACTATATGAACAACATTTTCATAGAAAAAATTCAACACAGAAAAATTTCGCCCCCAAACAAAGAAATTTTTTTCCCAACGTAGAGATTTCAATTTTCATACAGAAATTTATTTAATATGATTACAGAGAAATTTCATCGAAGGACCTTGACTAATATAAAAAATATATATATATATATATTAAATCTCTCTCCTACTACCTAAAATTGGAGGGGAATGTTTCACTATAATTTCCCCATGATGTAATTTGAAAAATAAGTTGAATTATGATCTAATTATTTAATTTTTTGTAATAAAAGAGTAAACAGGCTTGGCAACAACTAAAAAAATGATTTTTTTTTTTTCAATTTTCTTTTACTTCACTAATTTTTTCAAAAAAATTTGTGTCAATCATTTTTACTTTTCCAGATCATCTAATTTAGGATGATCTAAAAAGAAAAAAAATTATGAAACATATATAAAAACAAAAATAAAATGATACGTTTATTTTTATTTTATTTTTATCTTTAATGATTTTTTATTTTTATTTTTTAACTTCAGAAATTTTTTAGCCTAAACGTCTTTTAAAAGAAAAAAAAGGGAATCAAAAACCGGCTAAAAACACAATTCCCAAAGTAAGTAGAGTCTCACATTCGAATTAAAAATTGAAATCTATCATTCTACATTTTATTAGGGTCTCAAATATTTTGATATATAAACCGACCCGAAACCCGAAACCCGTCTAACCCCACAGGGGAAGTCGTTAAGACGGTTACACATAAAGAACTTTTGGCGGGAAGTCACATTTTAATTCGTTTTGGCGCCCAACAACACATAAAGTTCCTCTCTCTCTCTCTGTGGTTTGAATTTGCTGTGGTGGTGATTTCGAGCATAGCATCTGTGAATCAGAGACCTCTCTCTCTGTAAGTTGTGTTTACTTTGAGAGTAAATGATCTTATTTGATTTCGTTTTGTTCTGTTTGTAATTCGTTCTCGAGATTATAGGGTTTTCAAAATTCAAAAATATAAATTGTTATGTTCTGATTATGGATTCAAGATTTTCAGTCTTTTTTGTTCTCTCCTTGTTCGACAGTGCTATGATTGATGATCATCAAGCATTTATGAGATTTTATATATGCGTTGAATCAAATGAGTAATTTTGAAGGTCTCTGGATATCTGTGTTGATTTATTGAACAGAATATGCTTTTTGATATTGTATTAGTTTCCTTAGAGAAGCAGATTTTTTTGTTACTAGGAAAATGCAGTAAAATTGTATAGTTTTCTGCCACCTGTTCTCCATTGGAGGTGTTATTGTTGGACTAATGAATGATTTGGTAAGCATTACCTTATTCAAACCACCATTCAAAAGAAATTAGGTTACCTCCGTAGGTATACATATTCAGATAGAGGGAAAGGAAGATGCATTGAAGAATGGTTTCACAATTATAGGCCCAGAATTTCTGATATTATTTTTTAGGGTAGGGTTTTACAAGAATGATTTGGTTGTCTTTATGCTATTACTTGATGGAGAAAATTATGGTGGAAAGGGTAATTACCATTCTACAAAAGAATTAACCTAAAAATGTTAAGCCGTAGTTTTTCTGTGCAGTGAGTTGGGGATGTATTCAGATCCTTTAGGTTTCCAGGGTTTTGGACAAAGCAATAACGAGTCTGATAGATTTGGGGACAATTCATTAGGATTTGCTTTGTTTAGAATGATGTGAGAGGGTTAGATGGTTCAAGAAGATAAATCACCAAGAGCTAGTTGGAAGAGCAATCATGACATGAAACACTTCTAGTTTGTCAAGATTCCAGCTTCAAACTCTTTTAACAAATTTGTAACCATACCTGTGCATCTAAAGACCTTTGGTGGATGCTAAGTGAAGAAAATAATTGATTCTAATGGGCATAGAAGGACACACTAGGCTCATGACTTATATGTATCACTTTCAGTTCCATAATCAAATATGCTTTTCATGTTGTATTTTCTGCTGATACTAGGACTTCTTTATTTAGGCCTCAGTTGACTGGGCAAATTCCCCAATTTCTTGTAATTTAAGAGGACCGTAAAATCTGTGTTTGATTATCAGATGGATCCTCCACGAAACCACATGGATCTCGATAGTACTTGGGCATGACAAAATGTCGCTTCCCAAACCTATCATGATAAGCACAAGAGGCATCTAACAAAGTAAATGGTGTTTCATCTTCAGCATCGCCACTTCGTCTTCCCCCTCCTCGTCGTGAACTGTCACCCCTTTGCAAGTTCCTACCACCTCTGCGATTCCCACTCCCTCCCATGAACCATGTAGCCATGCTAATTTTTTAAAACAAATGAATGATAATTTCGTAGGGCGAAATGAGTTGTAAGGTTGTGTCTTCACCTTTAGTTGTTTATATAGTTGGTTATGAATGGCTTTAGAAAGATGCCTCTGCATGACAATCCCACATATACGAACAAGGTATGAGTTGTCACTAGAATGAAAAAACAGAGTAAAGCAAATACTGTGTACCAAGTCACGTGATTTGACAATCCATCTGCATATATCGACAAAGTAAGGGCATGCTCACTGTAAGGTAAATCAGTGAATTCACTGTTGTCATGTGACTTTCTGAATTGAGAATCCCACATATATCAATAAGAGATGATTTGTCACTGTAATAAAAAAATCGAGCAAAAAATTGAGAAAACCAAAGCATGTGCACCAAGTCACATGATTTGACAATCCATCTTCATATACGGACAAAATAAGGGTATGCTCACTGTAAGGTAAATCAGTGAATTCACTGTTGCCATGTGACTTTCTGCATTGAGAATCCCACATATATTAATAACAAATGAGTTGTCACTGTAATAAAAAAATCGAGTAAAAAATCGATAAAACCAAAGCCTATGCACCAAGTCACATGACTTGACAATCCATCTGCATATATCGACAAAATAAGGGTATGCTCACTGTAAGGTAAATCAGTGAATTCACTGTTTCCATGTGACTTTCTGAATTGAGAATCCCACATATATCAAATTGGTGTTGAGGTAAATCTGTTTGTGTATAATTAATTGTAAATAGTGATTTTGACAAGCAAATTAAGTAAAACCAATTGGGTTTTAAATTTAGTTCCCCAACTAGACCAACCACTTGGCTTTGAGCTTGTTTGTCTAGCCCCCAAAGTTTAGTTATCTGTCAACCCCCCATTCCTTACCACAATCATCATTTTGACTGGACTTCTAGGAATTGAAAGGCGACTCTTTCTTCTTTCCCAATGGAGATTGAAATTCTTTTCGTACAGGATCCCTATTTCACGAGGCCCAGTTAAGGGAAGCTTTTCACCGAGCTACCTGTTCTGTTTTATGTGTTGTTCAAGGCGGTAGTTCGTTTGTATGAACTTTATTTAGTTCCCCAACTGGACCAACCACTTGGCTTTGAGCTTGTTTGTCCAGCCCCCAAAGTTTAGTTATCTGTCAACCCCCCATTCCTTACCACAGTCATCATTTTGACCGGACTTCTAAGAATTGGAAGGCGACTATTTCTTCTTTCCCGATGGAGATTGAAATTCTTTACGTACAGGATCCCTATTTCACGAGCCCCAGTTAAAGGAAGCTTTTTACTGAGCTACCTCTTATATCTCCTTGTACTTGTAAAAGAATTATATGAATTTTAACTCATTCAATTACAATTACTTGTGATGCAAAAACTTTATTTAAATAATCAGCAATTGTAATCCAACAAGCAGTATTGACTTTTGAATTAAAA